TTGAGAACATTTTTTGGTTTTGTTGTATTCTTTTATTGCATGCCTTAAACTTTTTTACTTTAAGTTATAATGGTGAAGGTATGCCTTCTGCCTTTGTCAAGCACTTATGCTAGGTGCGAGAAATTTAGCCTATGCGCGTAAAAGCATAGCATTTTCGTAGATTTCACGAAAAATCGGACTATGATGGATTCTGTGATAGCCAGAAATCCTAGCAAACGACAAATGGACTTTCCAATAATAGTCGAACATAAATGACCAATGTGCATCTATATGAGATACGTTGCTTGCGGCAAGTTCACAGGTTAACGCCAGACCGTAAGAGGTTGGAAATCATACGAACAGCATAATCCCTACATTTGACATAAAAATTGTTGTAAATATTTGCACAAACATAACCATAAACAGTATACCTTTTGAGAAACACATTCATGAAGCGCGCACTTGCACCCTCAGCGATTGAACATCATGTTTATTTATTTCTTTGGCTATATCTCTGGGCGGTTTATTTGTGCCAGTTGCCTTTAGTGTTTTTGCCAATGACATGGCACTATTGCACTGATAATAACTAAATTTAGCCGCAGTTGCATTCACACGTGATATAAAAGCTGGTGACGGCAAGCTGTGGGAAACCCCGGATTTGCCGTTTGTTGTGTGGTGTTTGTTCTGCAACAATAGCTGCATTTTTTTGTAAGCGAGCGACAAAAGAACGCTCAACTCGGGTAAAATTTCCTTTTAGCTACTTAAGCAGCCCTGTTGATGGCTGGTAGGAAACCTGTGATTAGTTTAACGGGATTTAGATACAAAAACCAATTTAAATGAGTAATTATGCGAGGTATTTGCGTAATATATGGAAACAGAAATTTCCCTATCCACTTTCCCATTAACAATTCACAATAGAGCAGTTTTTCCACTTACCAACACTACCCTTCAGGTCGACCTGGCTGAGCTCGGATAAATAGCCGAGTTTGTGTTGTTGCTTTGCGTGTATATTGTCATTTAAGCGAGTGTTCTTTTGTAGCTCGGTTGCAAAAGAATGCACCTAATAGCCTGCAATGATGACATGTCCTATAATAGGTTCGTTCGCGTAGCTGTTAATTGTTCATGTTTAACCAAAACTTACAGGTTTTTGCGTTCGCGTACGCAAAAAACTTGCAAAGTAGGGGAAATTGAGAGAGCAAAGTGACATTTAATTTTGAGGGGAAGCTGTTAGTTTCTGTTGGAAAAATTTTTGCCAACAGCAATTTGCCAACAGGGAAACAGCTGATCAAAAACAGCTGGTTGGCATTTACGCAAATCACAAAATTTAATTTGATGGTTTGGAAGATAAAAATTACAAAATGCGACAAATTAAACTTGTAAGAAATAAGTAGTTATTTGTTTAATCAATAAACTGTGTCAGTATAACACTTTGCGATGACTTTTCGTACGTTTTAAATTTTACACTTTTGTATGTAAACAAAAATTATATCAGCTGTTCGTCTAACTTGCAAGTTTCTGCAAATTTTCTGTTCGCGTACTATTTTGGATATTTCTCTCTTGTGAGCGAACAGATGACATTTCGCCGGAATTTGGCAGTTGGTTGGTTTCTGTTGGAGATTTTAAACGAACGCACCTAATGTCGACGAACAAATATATAAAATTGAAAATGACTAACCTCATTCAGAATTGCTAATCGATGCTTTAGCTTCATGTTCTCAGTTTCCAACGTTGTGTACTCTTGATTACCTTCAATTTCAAGTCCCTCGTCATGTTTTGTATTTTCTAATTACATATGCATGCAAGTGCGATGTCAGATGCTCCTACAAATACAAATAAAAATGTTTAACATGCTCTACATGCAGCTGGAGCTAATGGCCAATGTATGCAGCCACACTTATTGCTGCAGCAGCAGCGAGAGATTTCGAAGGAGTGCATCTTGTCTGTTAATGGGAAAGTAGGATATGAATTGGTACATTGGATCTCCAATGCTCACATTATACAATAGATGTGTGGGGATTCCGACTGATTCGGAAGACCACCCTTGGTCACGTCCAGAACGTATTTTCTAAGAGGAAAAACCGCAGGGATTGCAGTAGTTTTCCTTTCAATCATCGTTAATGATGCTATGCTTGTAATTTATGGTCTGAAAAGAAAGAAAATTGCATTAGTCAAATGTTAAATATATCAAATCAATAAATTTCAATAATGTTTGCCATTTCATCCATATTGTAACTATCAATAGCTTATAAAGAGAAGTGTAAAGTTTTCTTTATCTAAAACTAATAAAGTTAGAAGCACGAAGTTCAAGGATGCGATAGTTAACATATTAGTCCTTGACATATATTAAAAAAAAAATAAATATTGGAAATTTCCAAATATATTCAAGGATAAAGTTTTAAAAGGACATTTTCAATACTTATTCGTCCAGGTGCGCCCAAAGTTTTCCATGTATTTTATATGGGGAAAAAACAACTTTTCGTACAAATGGTATAGAATAGTTAAAAATCAATATTTTTCTACCAGAAAACTCAGTTTATCTGCAGGAGATTCCCAATAATAATTTGTTTATTTAACCATTTTTTCATCGCAACTATAATTTATAAGTCCGCCAAAAACCCTCAAAAAATCTCGAAAAATGCACTGGGCGACCAATAAAAAATCGTTAGTATTAAAACATGGTTAAATAAAAAATTGGGTGTAATTATTGAAAGTCTCCTGAAGAGAATCTGAGTTTTCCGATCGAAAAATATTGATTTTCAAAAATTCTAACCCTTTCTACGAAAAATTTTATTTTTCCCATATAAAAATACATGTAAAACTTTGAGCGCTTTGAGCGACCTCTAAATATTTTTTGATTTCAAAATAAAAAAATAAGGGTATACTTTTTTGGGTATAGAACAATCCTAGGGGGTGAGAGCATTACCATTCCGACTTTACTGTTTCGGGCCACCCTAGTGTACACATTTAACATGTGGTATGAAATACCATTATAATATCATTGTACACAGGAGCCAATAAATTTTTTTTATATATATGGTATATATGACGTTTTTAATAGCAATAATGTTATCATTTCCACTTCCAGTGATTAAATATTCAAAGAATAATTCACGTTTTATTTTAAAATTATTTTTAAATTGAAGTTCACTTTCAAAAATTTTAATTAGAAGTCGGTTTCTCTCTTTTCGACTGGAAGCAAACTTTATACTTAAGTTCCTCTCAGTTGCTCCGTTTGAGCGTGGTATTGAAAACCCAAAATTACATATTTTTTTCGAACTATGGAAACGTATTACTATTTATGGGCTTCGTCTGTATTTCGGAAATACTATTTCCCCATGGCTTAAATTACTTTTTCCAACTGCGCAAAAACTTTGAAAGACTAAGAACTCGCTAAAAAAAAGTATTTAACTCGCTGTCTTGTGTTAAAAACCCTTTTACAATGTCAGCAAATTGAGAAAAAGTAATTGTATGATGCCGGCAAAGCCATTCAATTATTCAAATTTGTTGTTATTAAACTGAAAGTTATTTTCGGGATAAGAAATGTTATCGACAAAAATGTGTGTGCTCAGAATTGAAAATTCAGTACAAATCAGTACAAATTTTGAAAAATCATGACATTAGCGTACTGATTGAAGAAATTAATAAGATCAGTACGAGAGTTGAAAAATCAGTACTGTACTGATAAAATCAGTACGTCTGGAAACCGTATTTTTTGTGAAAAATAAACGTTGAAAAGAGTTTTTAAACTTGATTATCTCATTATCTTATTAGCGCACACTATTGTGCTTATTTTTAGTATAATATAATTGTATTATCTCAGACTTTTTTTCAATGTTTTCTAATATTCGTTCTTTTGGCATGCAACAGCAACCATGCGCTCGATTTCTCGTGGGGAAATTTGGTCCCCATAAAGGACTTTCACCACGAAACAGCTACAAAAACAAAAACCTTTTCTACTGGTAAACTGTGATCGCTTTGTTTGAAATTCAAAGAAAGCAAGATGCAGTTTTATAGCTCATAAAATTTTAGAATAATAAAGTGCAAGTTTCAATTGCTTTGATTTTCTTTTGCTGACTTGCACTTCAATAGACCAAAATTTTATGATCTATAAAACTGCATGCTGAAAAATGTTCTAAAAACCCATATTAAAATTATAAAAATTTAGATGGAAATTTGTTGAATTTTTCTAAGTTTTATATAAAGTTTGAAACGATGTTACATGGTTTTGTTTAAAGCATGAGCACTATTTTTATAAAAAATAACAAAAAAATATTAACTTAAAAAACGTATTGAATAATTAAATAAAAGAAATCAACACGTGAACACTTGAATCGCTACTACTCTATAAATATAATCAAAATAAAAGTTTGTTAAATTGTTTGAAATTGGTTTTGTTTTATTTCCATAGTGAAGGAAAACTCTATGCGTATCGATGCATCGATGTACGCCGTCCGATTCATCGACTTGAAGAAAAACATCGATGTATTTTTGCCATTGGCATCCCTAGCTCAACGTTTTTCATTTTCAATCTCATAAATTATTTATAATTACTTTTGCTAAAATTTCAAAATCAAAAATTATCAAAACAAGTTCTATGGGACTGAGAAATATTATTTTATACTTTTTAGTATAAAAGCGTGTTATATTGAAAAGTTTTTTATTTTATTTATTTAAGAGTTGTTCTTACTTTTTTTCAGTGTGTGAGAGACAATGCTTCTGTTAATTAATTTGTCTTTGTATTCTTACATAATTCCTGTATTTATTGTGGGATTTTTTTGTTTAAAATACTTATAAAATTTTATTTATTTCATTAATGTTCAGTTTTACATGGAATAATAAGTGTTGAAGCGAATATATAAATTGTTGAGTTTTGCTTCGTATTGCCTCAATGGATTTTTTATGCGTTTTTTTTAGAATTTTTTACGTGGAGTATCTGAATTTATTGGTTTTTGAAAATGCTGGAATGCAT